TTGTATACATACAACGACCTAATACAAATCATACACTGTTTATCGATAATTTGTATTTTTCGTTTTAACATGGTCGTTTCTTTAATTGTTTTGTTCTCGGTTACGAGCAGCCAGAAGAGAATAGAGCGTTACGGCTGAAAAGCGACCGATACGGTTTAATGTCTGCCGACGATCCGTCGGTGGTCGACAGGCACGTAGACAGCTCGCCAAGTTCTCTGACCGACGGCCAGGCAGAACTCTTTACGCCTTTTTCGACACTGAGCAGTTACCTGGACGAGGTTGCGTACGTGGCCGCCGGTGGTCTCAGACACGGCGACGATGCGTATTCACGTAACAAATTCAATCAATTGGCGAGCGATAGTCTGCGTAGCAATCGGCCGGTGCCCGACACTAGAAACGCAAAGTGAGATCGACTATATTATTATACATATACCTACCTATATATTATCTTCCTAAAACCTATAAAATAGCTGTTTAAAAAAATTTAAATGCGCATAATGTGTAAATCACAAAAAAAAGATCTGACAATTTTACATTTAAATGTGCAGTCAGATCTCCGTTATATATTTGGTACGCCCTGAATCAGGCCCTATTATTTGTAAAATTTATTACAATCGTTAATATTCACTACAAAGCTGTAAAGATGAAAAACATCAAAAACGCCCGATAAAATTTGTTTTAATTTTTTTTAATGTTCTGTAGTAAATTAAAGATAAAGTTCTGCAAATCTCCACTGCACTTCTCCTAACCAATGTGAATCTAACAAGACCCCAAACAACGAAATCCGCTCTCCGGTTTCGGAGATCTATCTCACTAAATGAAAATGAAAATGATTTTTTGTGGGCTGTTCACACCGACATTTTCTGGATTCAAATTGTTACACCGCTTGGATGCGATATTAGTTAATACATTTCTAAAAATTAAAAATCAAGAAAGTGTACTTGCCGCTCCCTGACTAGTGACTTGGCAAGCGTTTTTTAATACTAAATGCTAAACGCGGTTATAGCCATAGACCTTATACTTAAGTTTAAGTTTAAATGTTATACAACAGACCGAGCTCGGGAGAATATTTTCCTTTTAGCATTACTAGCATTATAATTTGTTTTAATATCAACAAAAAATATTTTAACAGATAACACAATGTTTGAAAATTGATAAAAATAATTATAGTTTAATATAATTTAAATTAAAAAAAAATCAGGAAATACTCATATTTCCTAGCAGCTGGTATATTATTTAATTTTTGTTTTGTAGACAAGCCTGCTCACTCCCAGTTTTTCTTCAATAATGTAATTATTCAAAATCTGATTTTTTAAATATTTAAATGTACTTTAAGAAAATAATTTTAAGTCCTTGAGGTTTTTTGTGCTATACTTAAGGAGTGTCCTTTGCAAATTTCTGTTTTGTGTACCTACCTACTGTAAATTATTTATAACGGACAATTTTTATTAAAAATCTTGATTTATCTAATTCAAATTTTTAACGAGTAATTATTAAAATCTTGTCCCAATGATAATAGTATATTAAAAATAATTTCATATAATTATAAACTATAAAGTAACTACATGTTATATCAGTTCTAGTATTTATTATACTATTGGCCCATTTTTAAAAATTATTATTGTTAATAGTAGAATATAATAATTACTATTTTCAGATCACAATAATCTCCCCTTCCAAACCTATTATCCTTAGTACACAAAGTTAAATAACTCAAAAACTACCCTTTAGAATTTTATAACAATACGTCAACATTTTCAGAAAAATGATCTAATAATTTTTCTTGTTTGAAAACAGAAGTTTGTTCTCCACAGGAGTACAGGACACTTCTTAGATAGTAAAAAAAAATCAAGAATTTTAGAGTACTTTGGTCTTTAAGTAGGTACCTACCTATATTATTTAAAATACAGATTAAAATAATTGCATTGTCCAAGAAGAAAATATGGGATGAGACAGTATAGGTACCAAATTCCGTATAGTGCATACATATTAAATTGTATGCAACAGGTGGGGAAACGTTAAATGGGCGACAGTGTGTCAGTAAGTTATTAACATTGAACTATTTTAAATATTCAGGTTGACTTGTATCACGATTTTTCATCAAATAATTAATAATATTCAGAAAAACACTATATTTGTGAAAAATAATTTCCTTTCGTAAATGATTTGTGACAACATATATTGCAACGAAAAACAGGAAATCGTACGTTTGAGCGTATACTGTCAGTAATTTCGAGTTTGATTAATTTATAAATTTTGTTTAATTGCAAAGGACTAAGGAAGTTAATATATTCTATACCATTATTGCGTCTGCTAAATTCCACAGAATAAAAATGATTTCTTGTTTATGTTAAATTTAAGTTTACATTACAATCATTATTTATTTCGATGTTTTTTTTTCAAGATGTTTAACTAAAAAATATCGCATTGATCTGCCTCAGACAAGTGTCATCATCAACTTTCATAACGAAGCAAGGTCTACTCTTTTGAGAACAGTTGTCAGGTATTATTTGAAAATGAGTTTTTTTTTTAATACATTAGTTGTACGTCTTATACTTCAGTCATTATAATGTCCACCTGAATAATTATTTATTGTTATCTTAAATTTTAGCGTTTTAAACAGAAGTCCTGAACATTTAATCAAAGAAATATTTCTAGTGGACGATTTCAGCGATGATAGTAAGTATTTTTATTTAACCTATTTTTATATTAAAATATACCTATATAAAACAATTATCATTATACCTAACAAAATTTTATTTCGTATTAATTATAAAGGTACTAGAGATTTTTATTTTTACTTAAAGGTATGATGGACAAGAATTATCAAAAATACAAAAAAGTGAAGCTATTAGAAATGAAAAAAAGAGAAGGTAAAAATATATAACCTATTAAAGTTATAATGGAAGTTTTTTGTTAATTTAAAATGAATATTTATAAATCATGTTAATCTTCTCTTTTAATTCGATTAATTAAATATTATAAATTTCATCTTTCTAAAAACCTAATATTTAATCTATTTTCATGTAATATTTTCTAACCAAACTGTCTTATTTATTTATGTAAACGCCCACTAGGGCTCAAGTACAGTACAATAATATTACAATCTTAACAAAAACAAAATAGGCATATTAAATAATAACAGACATTTATAATAGACGGTTAGTAAACCTGAACAAATAACATAGATTAATAATTAATTAAATAAAAGTTTACTTAAAAAATAAACTAATAAAATGTTTTTTCAATACGCTTTGATTGTAAGTGTTGTAGATGTAATTGCTAATAATTGTTGATAAATTTTATTCTATAAAGCACGACAAGTGACTTGTACTCAGAGGCGTTCTCAGGATATTTCAATGGAGGGGGATGAAAAAAATGGTTCAAAATAAGCCGCAAGGGTTTGGCCTCACACTTCCATATATTATAATAATGAATATTAAAAAGCGGGTAAGTGGAGTTCGCTCTGCTGTACAGTAGATTACAATAGTTGGTCACTGTATAATGGATTGTATTAAATTTGAATTCAATGATATCATATCATATAATATGTATACGAAAAACGATTCTGAGCGGAGACGGTTTGTCAGTCTGGATATTTATATTGTAATATATTTTATTATAGCCTGTAAGTTGAATTAAGATTATAAATTACGATAAATAATTAAAATCATTATTTTTATTTTATTTGTTACTATGGTGATAAACAAAGTGTTAGAAATTGAAATCACATTTTTTAGCGGTTTTTGAAATTTGTCGGTGAAATTGTAATGTGGTCATTAATAAATATTGAGAAAATTGAAAAATTACCTCTCTAAAGTACCATCTTGATAAAATTTGCTAAAAAAAAGAGTACTATATGTTAAAGCGAAGAACTCCTTCTGGTAGAAATTTTGTATGCAGGATAAAATAAAAAGAATATAAACAATATTGAAAAACCAATAGATCCTTCACTCTGCTCAGAATCTAATAATAGCTGATAGTTATATAGTTGATAATAGCAAATAATCGATTCAAGTCATTTATTGTTCTTTTTATTTAAACTATACAGAATGTTATGAATCAGTTTAAATCAGGGATGGAAAATGTTTTTAATTTTTCGTTTTTCGTTTTTGATCAACGTTATTAAAAACGTTATTTTCTATATTGTTTTTGATATAGATGTGTTTTTTTTTTATAGTAGTAAATTTAGCAATTTAGAAATGCACTTAAGAGTTAAAAATTAAAATTAATTATTCTTGATTTCAAATAAAAATGTTTTTAAATTTTAATAGAGCATTGTTGGTAAAGATTAAAAAGTAAATACTTTAGTAACGTTTTTTTTTTCGTGTTATAAATATAATAATGTATAATACTATAATTTATTTGCGTTTTCGTTTTTGATTTCGTAATTAATTTTTTTTCTGTTTTTGGGATTTTTTGTTATGGTTTTTTTGTTTTTGTTTTATTAATTGTTTCGTTTTTTTTCCGTTTACTAACGTTTTTAAAAACGTTTTCCATCCCTGGTTTAAATTATTTATTTTATTTTATCACTGTGGTGTTATCATTGTGTATCTTAACTTTACATTTAAGGAATAACTTTGGAATAAATTCCAATAGGAATGGGTAAACTTGACGGAGTGATTGTTTACAAAAATACAGTACAAATCAATTGTAAAGCGAATTGCCTGTTATATGTTATAATTATCAGTGATAAATAATAATATTGTTTATGGCTGGTGGAATCAATAATCACGATAAAGAAAAATAGCAAAAAAATAAATAAAATAATAACTACCAAGTCAATATTGAAAACACAAACACATATCAAAAGTAGACAAAACGTGTATTACTAATATGTAAAAAAATAAAGAACCTTGGGGGGATCTATCCCCCATATCCCCCCCCCCCGTGAGAACCCCCATGCTTGTACTATATAATGTTTGTATTTATATAAACGTTATAAAACGCGTATCCAAAATAAAACTATAAGAGCTTATATAATATGTTTACCACCTAATATGTTTAATACAGGGTTAATGAGATCCAGAGTTCGTGGCTCAGAAATTGCGACAGCGCCCGTGCTTACATTTTTGGACAGTCATGTAGAGTGTAACGTGAATTGGCTTGAACCACTTTTAGATCGTGTAGCGGAAGTATGTAATTTTGTTGTAATTATTATTGTCTAACGCGTGTCTTGCAAAAATATAATATTACGCAATGTCAGAAATAAGACTTAATAGGTAATTGTATTTTAATAGGACCCGACTAGGGTGGTGTGCCCGATTATCGACGTCATCAATATGGATAATTTCCAATACATTGGAGCTTCGTCAGAACTTAGAGGTGGATTTGATTGGAACTTAGTGTTTAAATGGGAGTATTTATCAAAAGAAGTCAGAGCGCAACGTCAAAAAGATCCAACTTTACCAATCAGGTAAATTATTTTAAAATGTCAAATGTTCCTATAAGACTATATACCCAGTGGCGCAACCAGAGGGGGGGGGTAGGGGTTGTACCCCTCCCCCCCGAAATGTTTTTCTAGTTGCGCCACTGTATATACCTATAGGCTATAACACTCCACAACAGTATAATTAATAATTTCGGTTACTACATTAAATTATTTACCATTTACACTATTTAAGATATGCGAATACAAAATGGTGTAACAAATAATGATTGTAGGTACGATAGGTATACGTTCGTCACCCTTTAACTCGAGTGGTACTCTCAAACTCGTGTACTATAATTGTGAGGTAGGTATATACTTAACGCCTTCATTTTATTTGTGAATCGTGTACAGATTTAATTTACATACCTATTATTACCTACCTACCTTTTCAAGAACCCTACCGATAAAAAGTTTATTAAATATTTTATAAATTAAATACCTAATAAATAACAATTGCGGTGTTTACATATACATATTTTATAAATTAAATACCTAATGAATAACAATATTGTGGTGTTTACATATAAATATTCACACTGATTGTATCAGATTGGAATATGCAAATTTAAAACAAATATTAAATGTTAATAGACAGTCGCGTATGCATATTATCAGGTATAATATGTATAATAATACACAACCGTGTTTTGTTTATTTTCACAGAACACCGATGATTGCTGGCGGTTTATTCGTGATGGACAAAGATTATTTCGTAAAACTTGAAACATATGACAAGGAAATGAACATTTGGGGTGGTGAAAATTTAGGTAAGGAGTGATTTCATAACTATTATAGGTACTGAAACTATATTATGATGGTTCAATGCGTTAAACTCGTATATATATATTTTATAAACGACCCTATACGACCAGTGCTATTTGCAGAATATTTATTATTTTTTTCCCCCACATACTTACAGAAATATCATTCAGGGTGTGGCAATGTGGTGGTAGCTTGGAAATCATCCCTTGTTCGCGAGTGGGACATGTGTTCCGAAAGAGACATCCTTATACGTTTCCGGGAGGCTGTGGTAATGTTTTCGCCCACAACACTCGTCGAGCAGCTGAAGTATGGATGGACCGGTACAAGCGATACTATTACAATGCCGTGCCATTATCTAGAATCGTTCCATTTGGAAAGTATGCTATTCTCTATTATAATATAATGTGCTCTAGAAAGTAGAAAAAGGCGATGACAATTTTAATGTGTATTGTTGTTGTAATTTCAGCATAGCAGATCGATTGGCATTGAAGAAAAATCTCGGCTGCAAACCGTTTAAATGGTATTTGGATAACGTTTATCCGGAACTCAAATTGCCAGCGACTGTAGACGAGTTCGTGGGCAGTATCAGACAGGGCCACATGTGCTTGGATACACTGGAAAATCAAGTAGGAAAAACTGCAGGCATCTTTCCTTGTCACGATTACGGTGGCAATCAGGTATGGATAATTACGATTTACAAAATTATACTTTTTCGAATTTCTGCAGCGACGTTATATTATAATATTATTCTGAACAGAATAATAAAAGGTTATAATATTTTTTTACAGGAATGGACATTTACAATTGGTGGGTCGATTAAACATGACACAATGTGTTTGTCTCCGACAGATTATTCATCCATGAGCTTAATAATTATGAAACCATGCGACTCTACGACCGATGAAGTGAGTATACAAATTATTAATTTCCACTGTTAGCATCGTGGGTTCTTCAGGGTTGTTTAAATTGAAAATTGAAAATATTATCGCCTATGATGCGCTTAGTGTCGAGTTGTATTTCATGTTAGGGCAGTGGCGCTGTAATTTATAAAATAGTAGTTCAGTTCTGACATCGTACATCAAGGGGCCCCTCCATAATCCCCCTTTTTTAATTTCACAATCAGATGCAAATCCTACATATTTCAATGTTCAATCATTTATTTTTACGTTTTAACGTGAGTATAAATTCTGGATCCACAGGCCACAGCGGGATCCTTGCAGTACCCTACACTGCCCCCCCACACAATTTAATAAATCTACTATGATATAGTATGTCATAGATAAATTAAGTGATCGGCGCTACTGTATTAAAGGGTGAATCAATATATGATGTACTTATTGTAACTACTTACCAAGTCCCAAGTCCCAACATATTTTTAATAGGTATTGCTTAAATTATTAAGTATCTACACGGTTACACCTAATTTAAAGATTAAAATTAAGAAAATAATGTTGACGCATATGCCTACATCACAGAGAATAAAATCCGATACCAAATTAATAATCAAATAATGATCCGTTTCTAAAACAGAATTTGAAAATAACAAGGAAATTGGGAAAACACTTAGTATAGATTTTTAATTGTTGTTAATTGTTATACGTATATCCATACTGGGATTTTTCATTCGAATTTACGCGATATCCGATACCGATAAATTACCTAAAATAATAAAAATGCCCGACACCATGTAGTAAACCGAAAATAAATATATTGTCAAAAAAAATTATTCATAAAATACCAAAGTTGAAAATCCAATTGCAAAATATGAATTATACAGTTTGTATTATTAATTGTTATTTTAATGAAAGTATATGAACAATATGCTACTATATTTCTCTGAGATATATCTAATAACCTGTAATAAATAGTTTAAATACATTAGTTTTGTTATATTGTTCATAATATATTTATATTATATATTATATATTTGATATTTGGTGCAATGTTGCGAAAATGTAAAACGGATATAAGGTTTAAAAAAAAATTACATAAAAAACAGTAAAACTATCAAATTGTTACAAAAACTTTTAATATAAAATGATACCCCTCGTGCTTCCAAAACACCTCAAATATGAAATAAGTAACAAACACCGGATTCATTATTTCGGGATTAATATTGTATACTTAATAAAGTATTTATACAACTTACTCAACACCTAATACCTATAATCTATATGCCGCGCCCTACTTACACGATTATGTATATCATTGTTTTAGTGGAAATTCGACGAAAACACTAAACAGTTAAGGCTTAAAGTCGTTAACCTATGTTTGGACACGCTTGGAGTACACGACATGATAAGTATAAATGTATGCGATAGTCTAAATTCAAATCAGAAATGGGAATACTTGGTTGCAGCAGGAATCGATAATAAGGTTTAAATGCTATTGAAAGTGGTAATCAATAGACAGAAATACAGAACAATATAATATTTGTTTATTGATTTCCTAAATCAAAAAAAAAAAAAAAACTACTTAAATGAGAATCCAAAGATTAACTTTTCATATAGTTTTATACATTACACAGGGAAGACATCAAATAAATACCAACAATGATGTTTAAAATAATTATTATGTACCTATCAGCTTGTACCTATACGCAGCACAATTAAGTTATTAACTACTTATATTGTACTGTGATAAATATTAGAACAAATAGATTTAAGTTATCTAATTAGTTATTACCTATATGTATAATATTATATATTATATACGTATAGCTTGATAGCCGTACAATATAATATAGGTACAGTACTACAGTTAGCACATAATAATATATTATATGTATCCATTATTTTTAGTCTTAAAGTAATTTTACATTAAATTTATGGAAAACCTTAGTATTATTACTCTAATATTATAACATAAGTATTTAAGTAGGTGTATAGGTACTTATGTCTTATACAATCCTATATATACTATATGAATATTTTATATATAATGTATAATTATTTTTATTTTAACATAGAAAACGTCTAAGGTAAAAATAGTTTTATTTCAAATGTAAATATTATAATACTATGGTTCATTTTTTTTTTTTTTTTTTTTGACATTTTTATACAATTTTATTTTTTGTGTTATTTTATTTTTAAGCATAATCATGATTATTTTATTATATGTAATATGATAATAATATGTATCCTTGTAAAATACTTTATAATTGATAAGGCTGTGATTTAAATCTTACCATGATTATTAAATGATATGTACTTACATACACTATTGTAAATACCTATATTATTTTTATTTTTTCATTCAATATCCTATTTTGAGTGTCAAGTCCATAAGATATAATACTACCTTACTGTACCTACAATATTAGCCAATTATAGGTATATTATCTATAGGTAATCGAAGACTGCGGTTAATTCAGAACGTATACACAATTTTACACGAGTGTTATTTTTATTTTTTAATTTATGATTAAACGTTTAACTTGATAATATTATAGATGATCAGTACCTAAACATTTATGTTGCGTATTACAATTTGTATTTACAATAATAGGCATCTTCCTTAAAGTTCCTCTTCGATGTAAATAACATGAGCAATTTATTTTTCCATGGTTAATAAAAGCATATTACTATGCACTAACTATAATAATTATTATAGCAAACAAATTGCAGTAGACGAATGGTCTGTAATTCGTGACTCGTGTGATGCAAGACCAACAGCTAGTCAAAACCTGCAAACTAATAGTCAATAGAGTACCTATACACATTATTATAAATAGCAATTAGTCACAACGATTTTTAAATGAATTTGTGTACAAAATGTACGAACGTACTGTCGTGACAATTTAAAGTCTCCACCTGTCATGGTTTAGGCTCTACGTCGATCAGTCAGTCATAAAGTACTTATAGTTTTTTCCCGAATTTCAAAATGTATTCTTTCCGTAAAAATCATATTCGGACTATCTATTACGAACATTTAAGAAAAAAATTAGCCAAATCTGGTTCAGCTGTCCTCAAGTGATGCGATTACCAACGCATAAATTTAATTTTTATTTATATAGATTATAATTTATATTTGAATAATAATAATATATACCTAGGTACATAGGCGCACATAGGGTGTGAATTTAGGGGGTGCTGGGATAATTTATGGTTCACAGATCCGTAGGGGGCTTTGCCCCCCCCCACACCCCCCTAAATCCTAATATTTCTGCATTGCATTAGATTTAATTTGTATAGTGTATACAATAATTTCTAAAGTGCAATGTATCAAATAGTCTGTATGATTGTAAAGAAGACGCTAGGTACACCCACATGTGTTGTCTCCGTATTACAGACGTAGATACAACTAGGCAAAACTGTTTTGCACGGGTATAAAAAACATTCAGTCTCTACTCTAAGCTAAGAAACTAAATGTTCACACTATAAAAATGAGAAAATTTACTCTGTAACTTTGTTTTTATATTTCCGATATCAAAACGAAAATAAAAGTTATTTAAGTTTGATAAACAAAAAAAGGTGCTCTGCTGTACAGTAGGGTACAAGTGGGTCACTGTATAATCGATGGTATTAAATTTTAATTCAATGATATACTAACATCATTGTATAAGAAAAACGATTCTGAGCGAAGACGGTTAGTCAGCCTATGATATTACTAAGTATATTTGATGATACTAAGGTGAATAAAGCATTTTATATATAACCTATTTACGTAGAATCTTGTTTTAAATTTTCAATCATTAGCTATAAAAGTTGAACATTTTATAAATTTTTAACTATAAAATTATTATTAAATTTTAAATGTGATAAATTTTGTCTAGATTTGAATTTTAAATAATTTAAAAAAAAATTGTGCCTATGTATTTTTAATATTTTTCAAGTGTTATTGTAACAATATGTCAGGAGCTGTGCATTAAATTTTCAAGCTTTTTTACCATACAAATACAATTTTATTGATATGAATAGAAAAAAAAAATTAAAAAATTGAAAACTGAAAATGTCCGTAAATAGCTCAAAAAGAATCAAAATATTTTGAAAACTATATGGTGTATAGGAAATGCTAATATAAAAATTTAGTAAAATTTTCAAGTATCTACAGTCATTCGTTTTTAATTACAACAAAATTAGAAAATCGTTACATGAGAAATCGAGTGAATATCAAATGTTGTAAAAATATGAATTACAAACGTTCATATAAATTTAATTTGAGATTCTTGTAGACATTTTTTTTTTGATAAAGGTAGACAAACTTATGAGGAATCTTGCATTACATTTTCATATCTTAGATTTAAAAAGAAAAATTTTTATGAATTTCTAACACGAAATTCTCTGCAAATTTTCGTCATTTTCACGTATTTTGTCAATATTTGGAATTTAAATGCTTATCACAAAAGACTGTGACTAAGGATTTTTAATATTTTTCATCTGTCTTTGAAACAATATATTAGGAGCCTTCTATTAAATGTTTAAGCTTTTATACCCAACAAATACAATTTTATTGATACTTATAGAAAAAAAAACTAAAAAAAATAGAAACTAAAAATGTCCGTAAAAAGCTCAAAATAACTCAAAATATTTAGAAAATTTTATCATGTATAGAAAATGGAAATATAAATAACCAATTAAAATTTCATATATCTACGGTCATTTGTTTTAAAGTTACACCAAAAACCAAAATCAATTTTCCGTAAAAATTCCCGTTTTTCCTTAATTTTTCTTTTGTTTTTCACGGCGCTTTTGAAAACTACTGTGAAATTTTTGCTTTTGACCCCCCAAAGTACCAACTAGATTCACTTTCCTATCAGAAAAGATACTGTTGTCTGTTGAAGAAAATCCAAGCACTTTTACTGTCCTAAAAGATGATGACAGACAAAAAAAAAAAAAAAAAATGAATTCGTGAATTCGTAAACAGTTGTCAATATTTGTAATGAAAAGAAAAATTCCGAACCAATAGACCACGATAGCTTATAAATGATTGGTGAAATACTGAAATAAACTGAGGGTGCTAGTTTGAAGCTTGGGGGTGCTAAGCACCCCCAAGCACCCCCCTATGTGCGCCTATGCCTAGGTACTCTCTAGTCGACGATAACTGGAAAAATTGATCAATGATACCACAGGTGCGTACCTCTATATAGTGGCCTAACAAAGATTTCACTTAATCACACAGATACAACAGCGAGAAATTAAATTATTAAAATATTATTTTAATTATTCGTGATTGAGTATTTGCCATGTGAACTAAACGACGTGATTTCTAAATTCTTATGGGCAGTAACGTATGTAGGTGGAGTATTAGGGTTTTAAATTTCAAATTTTGTACAATTGTACCTACATCTATATAGTCGACAAACCCTTTTAAATGAGTCGAAAATCTCCGATAATACATCACATAGGTACTATTTTTATTTTTTTACAAGGGATAAAAAATCCAATAATCAATCTAATTATATAATATCTTGTACTAAAACTAACTTAATCACTCACCTAGTCGCCTAGGTAGGTATACCTACTCATTATTACTGAGTTACATTTTTATAGTTTTCCTATTTATACCGAAAACTCTTAAAGTATATACCTACTCGAAATTCAGATTTTAGATTCCGAGAGGAGCGATGAATGTATTGATTTTACAATGACGTGTGTTTTTTGTTTTATTATTTGTCTGTAACCACTCACCACCGTTAGAGTCAGTAAAACTGCTTTGATTTTCTTCAACAGAATCTTGTTCCAGGGCCGGCGGAAGGGGGGGGGGGCAAACTAGGCACCCGCCTAAGGTCTCTCGCTTTACGGGGCCCCGTGCTTTATGGGGGCCTTGCCACCTTGCGTTTTTATATTTTGATCGGAGCGACGAATATATTAGTTTTACTGTGTAATTACGTCTACACAACATGATATTAGAAGGCATTATAAGAATCTTACAATGTTTTTAAAAATTAAAAGCAGGCGAATAAAAAGATGTTTCTGAATGTGATTTATTTGACGAACTCGTGATTTGCTCGTGAAATATTTTGGATGAATCAGAAACACCGTTGCAAGTACTATAGGTACACTAAAAAAATGTAATTTAGCTTTTTCAAACCTAAGTGTGGCTATTAGAATTATGCTCACAATTCCCATTACCTACTTCGGCGGGGTCCGAGCGAAGTTTCTCAAAAGTTAAGCTCATTAAAAACTACCTCAGAAGTTCAATGTCAAAAGACCGCTTAAGTGGTCTGCATAGGCGCACATAGGGGGGTGCTTGGAGGTGCTAAGCACCCCCAAGCTTCAAACTAGCACCCTCAGTTTATTTCGGTATTTCACCAATCATTTATAAACTATCGTGGTTTATTGGTTCGCAATTTTTCTTTTTATTACAAATATTGACAACTGTTAACGAATTCACGATTAAAACAGTATTGTGTGAATGCATGGTTCAGTGTTTCAGTTTTT